AAGCCCAGTGATTTGCTTTGCTCGAAACGAGGTGCCCCGGCCCAAGCCCCCGCCGTACCCCCACTTCGCCCTCGGGACCACGGGAGAAAGGGGTGTGGGGCCACAGCTTCGTCTCGGAAGCGGCTTGTTTGTTTTGTTTGATTTAGGGGGGGGGGGCAACTCTGCGTCCAATTGAGAACCCCAGCGTCTAGGGAATCCGAAACTTGGAGAACCCCGGTGATAGTCTACCCCCTGCCCTCGCATAACAAGAAAACGCACACCGCACATCACTGGAACGAACGCGCGCGCACACACACGCACACACACACGCACACTCCTCCTGCCTAGAGTTGCTTCCCGGAAAATAAGTCCGAGACACTCGCCGAAAGTCACGCAGCAAGGACTCTGCTCCGGGCCAGAGCTGGGCCCATATCTGGCGTAGCCTGTAGGAAGCGCTAGACACATATAAGTGGCTCCTTTTCTGCGGTGGCGCTTTTATCCTCCCGATCCCGCGCCCCTTAGGGACACAGTGTCTGGTGGAAGGAATACTGAAGTCGGGAATTGTGGATTCTGTCGTGGCCAGCCCTGCCACGGGGTGAAGCGAGCTTCTCTGAGCTGCAGTTCCTTTCCCGGCAAGAGGGACCCCGGAGAGCCACCTCAGTGGGCTGAGCTCCTGTAGCATCTTCACCTTCAGGGCCAGGAGGTGGTTGCCAAACGGGCCCCTTCCCCGAGTTTCCCAGAGCCTCCGTGGAATGCCAGCATCTGAGTGTGACTTGGCAGGAACAGGTGTACATACGCCTGTGAGGAGCAGTGAGGGGGAGGAAGGGGAGGGAGGAAAGGGTCAGAAGTCAGCTCTTTCCCAGGCAGAAGGCCTAATACTGGGGCTTGCAGTTGGACCTGCAGCAGTTTATGCTCCTGGGTTCTATTTCTGGCTTTTCAGAACTTGGGGGAATTCAGCCTTGGGTTCAGCGCCCAGAGCTTTAAGGGTTTTGTGGCTTGAGAGGTCAGATTCAACAGCCCAACAAGCAGCTGGGGGTAGGGAAATCTTGACTTTTCTTCACTCCAGGCACTCACCTCTCATTCTCCCATGCAGCAGAGGAAAACTGAGTGGTTACTATGAGCCAGGTACTATGCTGGGTGCGGGGTGGGGGGTACGGATACAGTGACGAAGACAAAGATCAGTTACTTTCCTCAAGGAGAGAACGTTCTCGATACTGTTGCCCTGAGTCATTTTCTTTAGTAATCAGGGGAGCTGGTATTCTTAATGTTTATGATGAGAGTCATAAAAACAAATTTCATGTATTAAAAATCTATCAGCCAGGCATTTGCCTGAGCAGGTTAAATAGGTGGTTTCTCCCACAGTCACAGAGCTATGCATGTTATTGGGTGGATTTAACATGTGAGGAGCTAGGCCCAGAGAGGTTAAATATCTTGCTCTGTCCACACAGGCGGCTGGAAATTGGCCTCAGGTTTGTGTTACAGTCCCTGTATCTTCTCTGCTCTGGGAGACTTTCTTACAACATTGCAGAGGAAATAGAGCTTATCAGCGGTTCTCAACCTGTGGGTCGCGACCCCTCTGGCGGTCGAATGACCCTTTCACAGGGGTCGCCTAAGACCATCCTGCATATCAGATATTTACATTACGATTCATAACAGTAGCAACATTGCAGTTATGAAGTAGCAACGAAAATAATTTTCTGGTTGGGTCACAACATGAGGAACTGTATTTAAAGGGCCAGAAGGTTGAGAACCACTGGCTTAGATGGTGGGACAGAAGACATTTGCCTTGCCTTGTCTTCTATAACTCCTTTCAGAGCTCCTGTGTTTAGAAAATTCAAGACTTAGGACTTTGTGTAAATATATATCTTTTGCCTAAGGGTTCTGTGTGTTCCTCCCTGCCTTATGTGGTTTAGTAGGCTGATTTTCTCCTTATGTTGAGAAATAGCATATTTCATCCAAAAAATAGCAGATCTGTTTATGTTAATGCCCCTGCTTGGAAGCCTTCATTGGCTTCTCCTTCCCACCAGGAGAGATTTTGGACACCTTTGCCTAGGAGAAGGGGCCGTTCACAGCCTAGCTCCTGCTCTCAGGCCTCCTCTCTCACTCCCTTTATCAGTCAGGAAAGGCTGAGCTATGCTCCCCTAACGAACAACCCCAACATCTCAGTGGCTTACCCCAGGGAAGTTCATTTCTTACTGATGCTGTGTGCCCACTGTGGGCCTGCGGGGAGTACTGTTTGCTGTGGTCACTTGAGGATTCCAGTTGAAGAAGAAGGTTTCATCTTAAAGCATGTGTATTACTGTCTTGGCTGGGGTGGGGGTGGGGGTGCGGTGGTGGAGAGGAGATGGGAAATTATTCACTGGCTCTCAGAATATCCACCTGGAAGTGACACACTGCACTCTGCTCGTGTATCATTGGCCAAAGCAAGTCATGTCGCCATGCCTGTCTTTGAATCTCTGTAATCCTGCCAGGTGTCTTGAAAGGAAAGAGCCAGGAAGATTTGTGGAACAATACTAATGATTCTAACAGCATCCCTTTCTGTTCACCAAGTGTTTGGCTTAGTGTCCTCCCGCAGGCAGCATTCCCGCCTTCTTTCCTCAAGGGGAACAACACTAAAGACCCATTTAGTCACAGAATGCCAAGCTCACTTTCCAGATTCTGGCGGATGCGTATTAGACCCTGTATCAGCTCCAGATGTGACTTTGTCTACCCTGCACTCCCTCAGTATAGAACAGTGGGACAGAGACAGGATAACTGAATGGACACCCATTTGGGAAGAGAAGAAATAGGAGACCACAGGTAGACACTAGTCCACTGAGCAGACATGTTGAGGACCCCCCAGCTAGCACCCCAGTTAGACCCTGATTCTGCTCCCCCAGTGGAGCTGTCCCATCTATTGTTTTCCATGACCCCTGGCTTTGCCTAGGAGAGACAATTTCTCTTCTATATCTAGAGCAGGAATAGGAAAACATGTTTTAAAATAAGCTTTTAAACCAGCGGTTCTCAACCCGTGGGTCGCGACCCCTTTGGCGGTCAAATGACCTTTTCACAGGGATCACCTAAGACCATCCTGCATATCAGATATTCACATTACGATTCATAACAGTAGCAACATTACAGTTATGAAGCAGCAACGAAAATAATTTTATGGTTAGGTCACAACATGAGGAACTGTATATAAAGGGCCAGAAGGTTGAGAACCACTGTTTTAAACATTGGGGTGATATACAGAGTGATATTAAGTCTCCAATATAGTGTCCTTTAATCCAGGCTGATGTGCTTTTGGCAGTAGAACTCTCACATAAATGTAGGCTTCTTATCGATTTGATTCCAGCCTTTCACTTCCGAATAGCCTGGCCAACTCTTTTGTAGACATAGTCCTATGATCTGCCATATTGCTTTGCTTTCTTGCTCTCATGCCTGCTGATCTCTCTGTCTCTCATTCATTCTCCTGCCCTCCTACCCCCTAACTTGGTTTTGAGTGCTTTGGACTTACTGGCCTTTGGTGTGAGAGTCACACTTTTCCTCCCTTTTCCAGAGCCATTTTGTTCAATTGAAAGCATATGCTGGGTAACACAATTTATCCAGAGATTTTAACAATAGGGTGAAGGCTATATTCTTGACTTGATCCGTACTTCAAGGTCGATTTTACCCGGCCTTTTCTTGTTGAAAACACTTCTTAATTGTATATTTTATTAGTTGAGATTGAGAAATAGTAGCCTCTTCTAACCCTACAAATCTTTGAATTTCTAGATGGTCTCTACTGTCTTTCATTCCTGCTTGCAAACTTGTCAATTCTTCTCTGAGCTCATTTCTTTCCTTTTTTTTTGTAATAAGTTTCCAAATGCATCCAACAGCAACCAGCACATGCTACTAACATTTTGTTTTATGGTTTCTTATTCTGAATTCATTAGATTAATGATATGCCTTCTAATTCTCATAGGTGATATATTCACCAAATAGATCGCTATCCTTTTAGCTTCTGTTAACAGTGTTCTTAGTTACTGTCCTCTAAACAAATGTTTAATTTTATTGTTATCATATTACCCCATGTGTAGGTGCCAGTTTTTTAAAAATATATTTTATTGATTTTTTACAGAGAGGAAGGGGGAGAGATAGAGAGTTAGAAACATCGATGAGAGAGAAATATCGATCAGCTGCCTCCTGCACACCTCCTACTGGGGATGTGCCCGCAACCAAGGTACATGCCCTTGACCGGAATCAAACTTGGGACCTTTCAGTCCACAGGCCGACACTCTATCCATTGAGCCAAACCGGTTATGGCTAGGTGCCAGTTTTTATATCAGTCAGGATAGGCCAGGTTTGCCACAATAACAAACAATCCTAAAATTTTAGTGGCTTAACAAAAACAAACCATAAACTTTATTTCTTGCTCATATTACATGTTCAAAGTCAAAGGGACTCTGCACAGTGTACTCACTCAGAAACCAAGTCTGAAGAAGGTTTCATCTAGATATATGCTTCCATAACATCCCAACCATTTCAATGGGGGAAAGAAAGCATGGCGAATTCACGTTGGCTTTAAAAGCTTCCTCCAGAAATAAGACATGTTACTTATGTTTATACGTTATTGGTCAAAAACTAGTCATGTGACCATGGAGAGTGGCTGGAAGTCAAGAGCTGGACACTCTTGCCTCTGTATAGTCGAGGTTACAAAAGGTAGAAATCCAAAAATTGTACTGGATGACAACCACGGAATTATTTTTCATTCACACTACACACCCATTACGGGTTGGCTGTGTCTCTGCTTCCCACACATCATCCTTGCTCTTGCGCCCTTTCTGGAACACTGCTGATTGTTATGGCAGAGAGGAAAGAGCATGGTGTTTAAAGAGCATGGTAAGAACAGTGCACATGGCCAAGCCTGATGTCAGTGGGGAGGGGCAGCAAGTATTTGCAAATAGCAATATAGTCTACCACACCCTTCACTACACATTCCCCCCATTCCTATGAGTCTCAGCTATCCTAAACATTTTCCAGTCCTTTGACATTTTCCTGTCTTTCCATTTACTTATATCCAGAATGAAAATGCTACCTGGCAAACTCCTATTCACCCTTCAAGACCCAGCTCAAATAAGCTCCCTCTGATGCTTTCTATTACCCTTGACTACCCTTCCCTCAAATGGTTATTATATTCTTTGGCTCTCACCGCACTGGACACATACCTGAAGCAGAGAATGTTTATCATGTGTTATAAATGTTTTCTAATATTTCTGACTCCAGATCCAGGAACTGTCTTATTCATTTTTGTACCACCTGTGCTTAATGCAGTGCCTGGCACATGGAAGGATAGAAGGTGTTCAATAAATGCTTGTTGATGTTTTTTTTAAAACAGCTATTTCTATAATGGAATTAAGTGGGTGATTTAATAGGTCAAATAACAGTACCTTGTTTTAATACATAAAGGTTGGGACATTTCAAACTCACTGAAACCTTCTTGAGCACATTGTGTTGGATTTGGGATAAAACCCAAATTCTTTACCTTGCCTATAAGATCTCACATGATCTGGGCTATCCTTCCTCACCAGCCTGAATGAAATAGCTAGTACTTCTCCCCTCACTTACTGTTGTGCAGCCACACTGGCTGTGGCTGTACCAGTCAGGGCAGCTTAGGTTATGCTACAGTAAAAAACAATTCCAAATTTCAGTACTCAAGACAGAAACATTTTATTTCTTGCTCCTACTCCATGTCTATCAGGGATTGGCAGGGACTCTGATTACATTGTCTTCCTCTGGGACACAGCCTAGCGTATCACTCTTTATCAAGAACATTACAGATATTGATCAAGGCAGAGAGAAAGAATGTTTTGAAGGGTCTTAGGCAGGCGCATTTAAATACCTTTGCCAGAGAATGTCACGTGTAGCTTCTCGGGATACACTGCCTAAAAGTAGTCTCATGGCCCCACCCAGGCACCAGGAGACCAGGAAGTGCAATCCTATTTGCCTGGAAGGCAGAGAGCTGGAGGTATTTGGTGACCAGTCCTCATGACTCCCACATTGGACTTCTTTGGTTCCTCAAACAAGACAAACTGTTTCTTGCCTAAGAACCTTTATGGGAGCCCTCCTACTTCTTCCCTGTTCCTTGGCCAATTTCTGTTTCTTTTGGATGTTAGCTTAAATGTCACTTAAAGAGACTTTATTTTTTCATACCACATCCTCCCCCATCTGAATTATATTTCCCTCTTATACTTCCTCATAAATCCCTATGTTTTTTGTTTTGTTTTTAATAGCATTGGGATTTCAGGAGGGTGATAAAATAATACCCCTACCTGTCCCCCTCTTGAGTTCAGAACCAGCTGAAATTTGGATACAGGAAGCAGATGAATGGAGATTGCAATGTCAGCTTGATAGCTGATATAGGATTGGAGGGCATGGCAGACATGAGGCCTTCATGGATTGCCTAATGCTTCACCCTGAACTGAACTTACCCACCAGTCGCTGGCAAAGGTGGGCAGTTGAGGGCCTCTTCCAAATGGACAGTGAGTGTGTACATCCTGCAGACAAATTGATTCTGAAAAGAGAAAGTGGCTGAGATGGGCATGCTGGGTCTTCTGAACTCAGAGACCAGATAACCCACTCCTCTCCCCACGGGGGATAAATAAGGGATGGAGAAAGTTAACAAATGTCACTTCATGAAAACCCAAAGCCTGGGAAATGAAGATTTCCTCATCAAAATAGAATTTATCTTAATTTGTTATTCCATATCTCTTTGTGTTATTGTTGAGTTTTTTTGTTTGTTTGCTTGTTTTTGTTTAAGATCAGTCTTGTCCACCAGAGGCGAAGCATCAAGAGGGTAGGGTAAGCACAGCTTGTTGTCTTCACTATATCCACAGCATTTAGCCCAATGCTTGGCACATAGAGGGTGTTCAGTAAAACTTCCTTGAACATCAGAGCCCCTGTGGAAGTCCTTCTCTTGGATTAACTCTCAACAAAGTTAGTTCTCATTTGCTTGAGCCTGGTTCCCAATTTTGAAGTGGCTCATTCTCTTCCTTACCCCCCCCCCCTTTATTTTTCCAGGTTGTCAACTTGGATACATGCATCCACATCACAGTTGGAGTAAAGAGGCAGAAATGAAAACTGAAATACAAGTAAGTAAGTACATTGAGTTGTTGCAGAGGTTGTTAAGGAGGAATGTGGAATTCTTGTACACATCATCACCCCTATGGTGATGTCTTTTCAGCAGTAAGAACTCCCACAAAACTTATGTAGGATCATAAAGGGGCAAAGTCCTTAGAAGTCATCTTCCTAGTCCTGCCCTTCCCCTAGTGCAGGAATTATTTTGGCAGCTTCTTCTTTACTTAAATACTTCTGGTGACACTCAGAGCTGGGGAGGGACAATTTCAGTGAATACTGCTGGTTGGACTGTGTTGGGAATGCTGTGGACATGAAACTAGAAAGCAATTTTGACCAATCTGGGAGATCTCAGAGAAGATAGGCCAAGTGGTGAGAAGCCTAAAACTATGCTCCATGGAGAAGAAATGAAGGAACTGAAAGTATTTACCCAGAGGGGAAAATAAAAGACTGTGGGAACGTATGTAGAAATCTCCAAGTAGTTGTGCAACTGTCACTTGGAGGAGTTGACTTATTCTGTAGGTTTGTGTTTTTAAAAAATATTTTTATTGATTTTAGAGAGGAAGGGAGATGGGGAGAGAAATAGAAACATCAGTGATGAGAGAGAATCATTGATTGGCTGCCTCCTGCACACCCCAAATTGGGCATCTAGCCCACAACCTGGGCATGTGTCCCGACTGGGAATTGAACTGTGACCTCTTGGTTCATAGGTTAATAATCAACCACAGCTGCGAGGGCCGGGCTATTCTGTAGGCTTTGAGGTCAGAGTGAGGGTAATGGTTAGAAGTTAGAAGGAAAAACTGCTATATTTATGGGAGAACTTTCTGAAATTACAGGGTTTTTTAACCAATGGGATAGTTGCCTTAAGAGTAAAATTGAAGCTCATCACTCAATACATATTTATTGTCTATAATGTGCTGGACACTATGTTTGGTTAGTTATGATGATTCCTAGTGAGCCCATAGTAACTTGTAATAATCACCACTTCATTTTCAAAGTTTTTTTAAAAATATATTTTATTGATTTTTTACAGAGAGGAAAGGAGAGAGATAGAGAGTTAGAAACATCGATGAGAGAGAAACATCGATCAGCTGCCTCCTGCACATCTCCTACTGGGGATGTGCCCGCAACCCAGGTACATGCCCTTGACCGGAATCGAACCTGGGACCCTTCAGTCTGCAGGCCGACGCTCTATCCACTGAGCCAAACCGGTTTCGGCCATTTTCAAAGTTTATACAAAAGCCATCTTTAAATGTTCTCTTTTAGAATTTGCGTGGGAGTGGTCATCAACATTGGTTTCTCAATTCTGGAATTGATCCCTTTTTTTACTCTCAAAATTTAAAAACTTGTGATGATATTTTCTCAAATCCAATATGAGTTAAATGGACAGTCTCTACCAAAACAGTATCCATAAATCACAATTACCTGTACTTGGGATCACTTAAAACTAGATACTTGCTTTCCATTTGTTGTAGAAGAACTATGAAGTGTTCACCAAATTCCTTTCCCTTTTCCTCCTGTGCCTACAGCTAAACTACATTTTTTTGGCCTCCTTTATTAATAGGTGTGACCACTTGGCTGAGTTTTAGCCAAAGCAAAGGGGGTGAATGTAATATGTACTGTGTACAGGCCTGGCTCATAAAACCATCTTTCTCCATCTCCTGGTTAAAAGTAAGGGTCATAGAGATGGGCAGGGCCACAAATAGAAAGACTGGATCTCTGAATGACCATGTGGAAGATTGCCCACTGACCCAGAATATTCTCATTGGACTTTGCCTGAATGAGAAATAAACTACACTGTGTTGAACCACTGAGATTTTGGAGTATATATGTTAGAGCTGCTAGTGTCTTCTTATTCCAGCTGGTGCTGCAGGATTCCCTCAAAGAGAGAATAAGTGTGGAATTGAAGTTAGGGAGTTTTGTTCTTCCCTTTCCTGTTTGAAAGAATTAGTGGAGGAGGCAGGGGTAAAGGACATAGCACTTAATCACACACCCATGCTTCCTGTTGGTAATGTTTTCTATCTAAAATTCATAAACTTCATGAGACATGTTGCCATGTCTTACATCCTCTTCTATATTCAATCTTTCAGTTGATATTTATTGAGAAGTGCCAGGTGTTTTGGGGATTTCTGAAGACATATAAGTAGCATATATTGTTAAATATGTTATTCATTTACTCAACAATTTTTAGCATCCACTAAGGGCCAGCCCCTGGTAAACATTGGTGGGCAAAAGGTACAGTACCCACCCCAAAATTGGGGTACAACAAGGAAAATACATAATAAAGAGGCAAGATGAGTCAAGTATGATAATACTATGAGAAGGAAGGTCAGGATGTTCTGGGTACACAGAGAAGGAACATCTGACAACGTAGAGGTCAGAGAATTATCCTCTAAGGAGGAGTAGCCAGAAGAAGAGGAGGCAGTGGAGAAAGAATGTTCTAGAAAGAAGGACTGCATGTACAAAGGTCTGACTATGGGGCCAGACTATGGTGAATGTTTGGAGGGACCAGAAGTTAAGCTGGATACGAACAATGGAGAAGATGAGCATGAGAGAAGGATCTTGTAAAATATATGTGCACATACTTAATAAATGCATACAGAAGGCCTTGTATTATAATATGTATATGCATTTACCTAGGAGGAAATATGGCCGATTAACCATCAAGATGTCAACGTTGTGATATTTGAGTAGTTTCCAATTTCCTCCCTATGTTTCTGTTTGTTCTAGAACTGTCTAAAATAAATGTGTGTTTCACTTAAAAAATCAAAATATAAATGTTTTTTTCTTATTAGTTGTGCCTGCACCTGTTGTCTTTCAGAGGATCCTCACAGCGGTCTTCTGAGTAAACTGAGGTTCAGAGTTGGTAAGTCCCATTCAGTCTACTTTCTTCCCAAGGCGCCTGCCTTCCTTGCGGTTTTCTAAGCAGTGATGATGGCTTTCTTGGAACTAGTGACTTTAGTGCTCTGTTGAGTGTTCATGTGATGGAGTTTGCAACCTGGAAAAAAATTGGGTCAATGTTGTCATGATCCTGACTTACCTAGAGGCTTCCCACGTACAAAGGATAGTCCTTAACCTATTGGACCATGTCACTAGAGTTCTCTTTTTGTGGATGCTGTCATGTCCTTTGCCTAGTGATTTTGCAATGGGGTAGAGAGCTACTGATAATTTTGAAAAATGTAGTTCAGGAAGGAGATTGTTCCCCATTATTTTGTCAACCCACATCTTGATTGACTAGCATGTTGGTGCTTGGCCGAACTAGTGAGGATGAATATTTGTAGTGGACATCCAAACACTTGAAAGCCTTGAAACACTGCATCAGCATTCTCTACATTATGTTATGGCAATAAACTGCCCCTCATATTTCAGAAGCTTAAAACAACATGAATTTATTTCATGTGCATGTTACGTTTTCATCCTGATTTAGGCCTAACTCTTTACTCTGAGACTCAGGCTGAAGGAGCAACTCGCATCTGAGATATTGCTGGTGTGTATCACAGGGAAGAGAGAGGCAACACCAGGGACAGCTCTTAAAGCTTTGCCCACAAGTCACTTCCACTTACCTTTGATTGCCCAAGTGTGTCACAGGGCAGCCAAACTTTTGCCAAACACCTCAACATTCTGAGTCTCAGTTTCTTTATCTACAAAATGGAAATAGATAAAATACATTATGGTATATTCAAACCATGGAATATCATGTAGCCATTTAAAAAGATAGAGAAATGCCCATGATACAGTGTTATATGAAGAAAGCAAGTTGTAATGTCTGTAGCATGGTTTTATTTTTGCATAAATTTAAAAACCTTGCCCTACCTGGTTTGGCTCAGTGGATAGAGCATTGGCCTGCAGACTGAAGGGTCTTGGGTTCAATTCCGGTCAAGGGCACATGCCTGGGTTTTGGGCTCAATCCCCAGTAGGGGGTGTGCAGGAGGCAGCCGATCATTGATTCTCTCTCATCATTGATGTTTCTATCTCTCTCGCCCTCTCCCTTCCTCTCTGAAATCAATAAAGATATATTTTAAAAAATAAATGAAAATAAAAACCTATCTATGAGTATAGAGTATATTTGTTTGTATGAGAATATTAATAAAAATAGCTAATGTTTATTTAAAAATATTTTTTATTTATTTTTAGCGAGAGAGAAAGGGAGAGGGAGGGAGGGAGAGAGATAAACATTGATTGGTGCCTCCTGCACACCCCCTACTGGGGATTGAGCCCACAACCCAGGCCTATGCCCTGAGCAGTAATCGAACCAGCAACCTTTTGGTGCACAGGATGATGCCCAACCAACTGAGCCACACCAGCCAGGGCAAAAAAAAAGCTAATGTTTAATGAGTGCTTATAGCATATGCCCATTACTGTGCTAAGTGCTTATTATATACATTTGATCATTTAGTCCTTACGAAACCCAGAGAGAGGAGTAGAAAGTTATATATCAAATAGTCATTATCAGCTACCTTACTTGTGGGTGTGTTAGAAAGATTTTATTCACTCTTAAAAATATATGATTTATGTACATTTTTGCTCATCACAAAAGATGAATTAATCAGCTTTTGTTGTGAAAGAAACCACCACAAAATCTGTGTTATACAATGTTAGGTAAATGCCTAACATTTCCTGTTTATCGGTCTGCAGGCCAGGTGAGGTGGCATAGCCTTCCTAAGGCCCCATTCAGTCTTCTTTCCTCTCCGTTGCTCTTCCTCCCCCGCAGTGTTCTAAGCAGTGATGATGGCTTTTCCTGGAGGAATAGGGCTGAGGGTTAAATTCAGGTCTGCTCCATGCATCTCACTGTAGAACCCATCCTAGAGAGGCAAACTCTACCAGGGATATGTTATTCTCCTGGCAAAGGTTGTGTCTAATGGTCACACTTGAGGCTTTTTGAGGCCTAGGCTTCAAACTGGCACATTGTCATTTTTGCCCACATTCTATTAGCTGAAGCCCATCACATGGCCAAGTCCAATGTCAGTGAGCAGGGAGTCATGGGTGTTGTGGAAGGAGGAAGTGACTATTTTCTTTATAGTACTCTACTGCAATAAGCATACATTGTTAACAATATAAAGTGAGGAAACAAAAACATGTACCAGGGGTGGTTTAAATTGTGTTTAATATATTCCAAAGTCACATTATGCATTTCTTAAAAATACAAACTCCACATCTACAATTATAATGAGCACAGTGATATTCACATGGACATTTAATTAACCAGAGTACCTAGTAGGGCAGGTGGGAGTTTACAGTAGCTTGGCTTATGCTGCCCGTGGTGTGACATTCTAAGCATAATCTAGAGACTGTTTAATGTCTCTCTGTATGCATCACTGCTACTTGTGTGGCCATCTGCAATCCAAGGAACTTAAATCATGAATCACAGACTCTCAGACCTGGAAGGACTTTGGTGCCTGGGATAGGCAGGTGCTTCCTAAGTTCCATGGATAGCTACTCTTGCCAATTACAGTCATTCTTGACTGGGTGTGTCTCATGTCACTGGAGAATGGGTATAGAAATCAAAATTCCTTCATTTATCCAAGGGGGACAGTGTGCCTCCACCCCCTGCTGTGGCTTTCCTGAGTGATACAGTAAGTTAGTGGCCAAAGATGGGAGTGAAACCAGGTGTCTGGAGTGGGCCCAGGGCCTTTGACTTTGTTTCTCTGCGTGACACAAATATCAAGCATATGGGTCATTTGGGAATTGTCACTGGGCTCTGACACTTCCATTACCCTTTACAGAAATATATGAAGTCTCCTTCTTCTCCTGCTTCCCCTGTTTTAAGAGAACCCACGTACTGCTCAGACCAGCTACGTCTGAGTCCTACAAAGAAACATTAGACGGCACAGATGCAGAAATAGAGGGTAGCATGTTAAATTCCTTGAACACTGGCCAGGGAATCACCCCTGCTTCAATTTCCTTTCTATTCTTGGTAATTTAGAAAATATCTGCTGATACAACTCACGAGAATCTATTTACAAAAAGAAAATGTTTTATTAAGGAATTTATTTGTTAGGATTAAGAGTCATGTTCTGCAAATTTCAGTCACTTACTGAACACTTTTTTTTCCCAGTTTTTAATGTCCACTCTATCCCTAAAATCAATTTACTTAATATTTTTCTTTAAATAGATTCATATTTTTAAAACTTAAAGACGTTTTTATAGGAGATGATACATTACTGTTATAGATGGATAACAATATGACTTGCTATAAACATTTAGACAACTGTAAAAGTAAATACACAACCTTTAAAATAAATAGATTTGTCCATGTACCATTAAAGGTTGTTTCTTATTCTACAAGCGGCAGGCATTCCCCACTTATATAATGGAATAGTATGGGCTTTGGCATCAAATCTAAACTCATTCTCTTCTCAGTAGTGTGATTTGGGGCAGTTTCCTTTAAATTGCTCAGTTTCTCATCCATAAAATGGATCAAAGGTTATCTCACTCTGTGTGTGTGTGTGTGTGTGTGTGTGTGTGTTCAAAAGCATCTAGTGTCATTCTATGTCATAATAGGAACTCAAAACATTTAGCTTTCCTTTTTTTTTTCAAAATTAGGCTCATGAACTCTGTTGTCAGAGAGATGAATGATCTGAAGGCACTATTAATTTTTCCCAGAATAACTTACTGATAAATTGCTTGTGGTGTGCTAGGAAACGTGCTAAGTGCTGTGGGTACTGGGTAGATGGACTGGGTAAATGAGTTGAAGACCTGGTTCAAGTCCCATTTCATGTCCTCCAGATAAGTCACTTTATACCTCTGAGTCCAGTTCCTACATCTGAAAATGAGTGTGGTGATCGCCATATATGCCTACTTCAAGGAACATGTGTAAGGAATACCATAGTAGCTACCAGCAAAGCCTTTGCTGAACCGATACAGGTGATTCTGCTGTAATGGGACATGTATGTTCCTGAAACACTTTGTGTCCTGCAGACACAAAATAAAGTAAAAACGGGACATTTTGCAAAAATAGGGTTGAGGCAGATTATTGAAAACCTATACAATATTTTGACCACAATGCCAAGATAAAACTTTTTATCCTAATAAAAATAATAAAGCTAAAAGACCTGTTAAAATTTGACTAAGTAAATAAATATACACACCTATACATACTACAGCAAACATAGGATTTACTTTAAAACTGGCAGAGGTAGCTTGATGAAGGCACAGGGTGGGGGTGAGGCTGCTGAGTTATGGAGCTGAGGGCAAATCCTCAAAGATGGGAGATGCCATGCAATATGCCCTTTCAGGAAAGGACATGTGGGCGAACAGCCCAGCAGGAGGAGGAGGGTGAAAGGGCATCTCACCAGTACCCCTAGTACCGTGTGCCTCTGTGTCAGCCATACTCAGCTGTGTTAGTATCGTTTCCACTCAGTTGCTGCTGCTCGGTGCAATACTAAAAGGTTAACATCCTGGGGAAAATCAGTGTGAAATAAAGACACTTGCATGTTATGTTGTTCTCATCCCCCCAGTTACCAGTCTTACTTGTCTTACAGTAACACATATCACAGTATCATGTATTACAGCAAAGCAGTCCACCTGTGCAGATGGAGGGGGGTCTGCAGGCTTTGTGAGCAGAACAAGCAGAGACTCCCAGAGGTAGAATTCATTCAGAGACTCGAGTCTCTCCCTCTGGGCCTTCTGCCTTCCCTTCCCAGTGTGATTGTCTACTTCCCTTCCTCTCCTTGGTTGCAGGGTTCCTCTTCCTCACTAGCCTGTGAGCTCCTTGGGAGAGGGCTGTCATATTCATCGATGTGCTCTGACAGTCCCCATAGGGGCCCTGGAGCAGAATGGCTGTGTTACAGCTGAGGCTCCTTTTGTAGGCTTAGCCTCTGGAGCCAGATCACTGGGATCTGATCTCGGGTTCTGTCCTTAACTTGC